TGGTTATTTTGCGGCTTCTCGTGGCTTGCGTTAGGGAGACCCGCTCTCTCCTCTTTTATTTGCGCTTTGTACGGAAGGATTTGTTGCGCTTCTTTGTCAGGCTATTGTTAGACGGTCTTTAACAGGGATTTGTATAAGCCCTCGTTGTCCTATGGTGTCTCATTTATTTTTCGCAGATGATTCTTATCTGTTTCTGCGGGTTTCTGGATTGGAATGTTCTAGTTTAAGAGAGATCTTGGCTAGATATGAGGCATTAAGTGGTTAGAAGGTAAATCTGGAAAAGTCGGTTGTCTACTTTAGTAAGAACATTAAGCAGCAAAAGAGGGAGAGCTTGGGTCCATTCTTGGTGTTGGGATTGTGGGAGCCACTGATCAGTACTTGGGTTTGCCGGCTCTAGTTGGTCGATCGAAGATAGAGACGTTTCGCTATATTGAGGAGAGGGTTTTAAGCCGGCTGCAAGGGTGGAAGAGGCGGTGTCTATCGTGGTCAGCAAGAGAGGTACTGTTGAAGGCGGTTGTGAATGCTTTGCCTATTCATGTGATGTCATGCTTATGGTTGCCTGCCACTTTGTGTAGAGATCTGGATAGACATATGGCTCGATTCTGGTGGGGAGTTAAAGCGGGGGATCAAAAATTTCATTGGGTCTCTTGGAAAACTCTCTATCTGAGCAAGGCTGAGGGGGGAATGGGGTTCCGACGATTTGAGGATTTCAATTAGGCGTTACTGACTAACTTGGGATGGCGCTTACTAACGAATCCTGATTGCATGATTTCTCAAATTTTAAGGGGAAGTATTATCCCCGTTCTTCGTTCTTAGAGGCTATTACGGGGTCTCTTCCATCATGGGGATGGCGTGGTATTATACATGGTAGAGAGCTGCTTCAGCAGGGTTTGCGGTGGCAGGTTGGGACTAGGGATAAGATTTCATTTGCGACTTCGGATTGGGTCCCTGCTTGCCACCCAAATCCTCCTGCTTAGCGTCCAGAGATGGTGGGGGCTCAGGGGAGGGTCGATTCCTTGATTTTGTGTCAGGATGGTAGGTGGAAGGAGGATTTGCTTAACCAGCTATTTGAAAGGGACACTGTTGCCCAAATTCGGGCTATTCCTTTGCAAAGGGTTCCAATTCAGGATAGGATGGTCTGGCATCATGACCTCTCTGAGTCACATTCTGTTAAGTCAGGGTACCATCTTGCGGCAGGTCTTAGGCGGGGTCAATAGGTTTAGGCTAAGTTGGATCCCGCAATTTGGGATTCGGGTTTGTGGGGTAAGGTTTGGAGTGCCCCAGTGCCCCCCAAGTTTCAATTCTTCCTTTGGCAATTGTTGCGGAGAGTGGTTCCCATAGGTGAAGCATTATCGGTTAGGGGTATGGAAGGGGTCCTTCTGTGTCCCACATGCTTATGGGAAGTGGAATCTGTTGAGCACTTATTTTTTCATTGTCGGTTGACTGGTGGATGCTGGGAGGCATCTGGGCTAGGTTTTCTTCGAGATGAGTTCACGATTGCCTCGGTTGAATTCTTCCGACGATGATTTCTTGACCAACTGAATTTGGAGGGGGGATTGTTAATGCGAGTGATTTCTCTCTTCAGGTGTATATGGAAAGCTCGAAATTGGGTGGTTTTTGACTCCACGTTGTTCACCCCTGTCGTGTTGCTCTCTCAGTTCAATAGACAGGTGGCAGAATGAGAGGCGATGCCTTTGGGTAGTGGGTTAACGTTTTTCCCTGCCTCTGGGGATTGGCTGAGGGGGGTTCAGGGTGGGGTGCAGGATAGGTAGGGGCGTTGTGGGTGTTCATAGATGGGGCTGTTCATTCAGGTTCTCATGGTGCAGGTGGCTGGGTTCTGGAGGATTCCTCGGGGACACTGCTTGGGGCCGATGCATCTGTGTCCCCGGATGTGCAAGATCCTTTCTTAGTGGAGCTTCTAGCCTTGAGGGACGAGATCTGGTGGGCTCTTGAGATTGTGCAGGACGTCGTCTTTGCAGGTGATGCCAAGGTGGTGCTTGACAAGGTGAAGGAGGGCTCGTGTTTGGATGCTCATGGTGGTGCAATTTTGAGGGAGATTAAGGGGTTGAGGCAATGCTTTCTCCAATCTAGTGTTTGTTTTGTTGGACGTGCTCGTAATAGGGTGGCCCATATGGTGGCCAAAAAATCCCTTTCAATGTTCCCTAGTTTGATAGGGTTCGATTTTCGTTCCTGGCTATGGTCGACTAATTGACTTTAGTGTATCTTGATTATCTCGTTCAATACGAAGTATCTTTTGGCAAAAAAAGATGGTCCACTTGGCCCAGTGTCTTATTTCTCCCTCTCTCCCCTCACTTGGCCTAGTGTCTGCGGCGGCTGGTTGTTCCCTAATTCCATAATCAATTATCAGAGCCGTCGTTGTAATTACTTACTTGATTGGCCTGAGGGTTAAGTTGGGAAGAACCGTGCAGTCTGAAAAAAGAACAAAGATAAAGAGGAAGGGTTGTTGGAGAGCTGAATATGGTTTCTGGGAATGGATTTTGCATTTAACCTTCTAGTCTAGCAAGAGCCGCACGCATTCTTGTGAGATTACTAGAAACGACAGACAATGACTAGCTAGTTGGGTATTTATTTTATTGTTAACCCTACACAACGGAAGAAGGCAGGGAGGAGAAGAGCGCCACCAAGGAGTCGGGCGAGAAGATGTCTCCAAGACCAGGGAGGCGGGGCGGGACCGCCGCATAGACAGCGAAGTCAAAGGCATCAGCGGCGGCGAACGTGGCGGCGAACGCGACGACGGCGACAGATCATGGAGTGCCGGCGGGGGTACCTTCCTGGCGAAGCTAGCTCGCCTGGAGTTTCCCAAATTTTCCGGAGACGATCCGGGTGTTTGATTTTCAAGGGTAGAACAAAATTTTGAATTCCAAGAGGTGCTGGCGGATCAACGGGTGTCATTGGCTTCCTTCCATTTGGAGGGCGACGCTAACCAGTGGTGGCAGTGGCTGAAAAGGACTTACAAGGATGTCGGGGGACCGATTTCACGGGAGTTGTTCGCACATGAGTTGTGGGCAAGATTCGGGCCAACAGAAGGTGAGAGTTGTGACGAGGCCATGTCTCGTATCCGACAAACGGGGACGCTGCGCGATTACCAGCTTGAGTTCGAAAAAGTGGTCAATCGTTGTGTGGGATGGACGCAACAAGCTCTGGTACGAACGTATTTTGGGAGATTGAAGTCTGAAATTAAGGATGAGATTAGGATGTTTCATCCAATGACATTGCGCGATGCAATTAGCCTCGCACGAATGAATAACGATCAGCTGCAGCATCACCAGCCACCACCACGAGCACCATCCTCGGCTGGGCTGGCGTACGGTAGTGGAGCTCAGCAGCTAGCTGCTAGCTCAACTCCGAGAGGGAATTCGGGGCCACCTCAGGGTCTGGGTCCTGGAAAATGGCTTAGCTGGGAGAAACAGCAACTCCGGCGCCCACAAGGTCTGTGTTTCAATTGCGATGAACGGTTCACCATCGACCATAAGTGTGGAATTACGAAGGTTATGTGTCTCTTCGAGGAAGAGGATGGCGAGGGTCAACCTTGGGGACAAGGTTGATTTTCGAGAGGGGAGGAATGATGGGTAGCCGATGGAGAGGCATGGTAGGCTAGTAGGCTCATGGGCTTGGGTTATTAAGAGGATTAGGTCGGCAGATGGGGTTAGGTCGGCGGATGCCGAGTTCGGCTAGGATAGGGCAATTGTTAGGGTTTACGTATTATATATATGTACGTTCGGCGTTAGTCCGGGGTATCGAATAATAAATTAAAGGTTCATCGACACCAACATCGTTCTCCCGCTTGTGAGCTACAAGCAAACCCTCGAGTCATGGGCAACAACTCATCAATTGATTAGACCTAAATGGGTATTTCATAAATCACAGACCAAAATAGTTTATTTGAGTAAAGTTCGGGCCAATTTAAAATATTAACCATTTAATTTAAACAAATTAATCTCGTAGCCGGCTTTAATGATTTACCCAATACGCGGGAATTCTACATGATTTCTGGATCGAAACAATTAATGTCAGAAACTAAAACCTTTAAACCATAGATAGAACAGATGCCCATTGCTCTCCACGGACTTACGTGGCACCGATGAGAGTTATGGTAGTATGCATGCTAATGTGTACCTGTACGTGGGCACCGGGCCGTGCCGCCCACGGGCTAGCACGGCACGGTACAGTTAGAGCACGACACGAGCACGGGCATGAAATAAATGGGCCAGCCCGATACGAGAACGAATAATTTATGGGCCGTGTCGGGCCTAAATTTCATGGGCACGAGCACGATACGGTATATAAATGGGCCGTGTCGGGCCTAATATTTTCGAGACTTTATTGAGTATAAGAACGGACATGGCACGAAAATAATATTTATTTGATAGAAAATAAATATAAAATGAATTATAGGTTCAAATATTACAAAACACAAGTAGAAAAATAATTATTTGTTGTTGTTAAAAGTGTCATAAAGATATATACGTAATTATTAACATAAGTAAAAATGGATAAAGAATTAAACAAAGCCAAATCACACTTGAAATACTTCCAATTTTCTTTTCCCCCTCATTTGTTACTTTTCTCAAACATTATCGGTTAATCCTATCTTCTGCCGTCCAATTTTCACATTCTTTTTCATTCTCTCTTTAGTTTTCGTCCTTTTCATTAAACACGAATACGAGCATGGCACGAGCACGGATAGGCATGACACGATTCGAACCATGTCGGGGCCTGGGCCGGGCCTAACAAAGTTGACAAATGGGCTTGCATGGCACGACACAAAAACTGACAGGTCGTGTCAAGCACGGCACGAAATAAATGGGCTCGAGCGTGCCCAAACACGACCCAACGCCCATGTAAATGTGTACCTGCTGCATGTAATTTAAGTCCCCTGCCTGTCACATGTCAATCCAGAATTTCTGGTCTATCCAGTTATTTATTATATACTAAAAAGTAAAATCTAGGCTATAAAATAAAATACTGATCAAATGACATAAATTAAGAGATTTAATTAACACAAATACAAATTTGAAAAGTTCGAGGTTAGGAGCCGAATTAATTAAGATTTAAAGACTGATCTTCGCCGATCGCGTTTGAGTACTTGAGTGGGAAAATAAAAAGAGAAAAGAAAAGAGTTAATAATGGACTAAATTCAAAATAACGGATTACTTCTCCTACAAAAAGAGCATGCACAAGCTGGAAAGAGGCGCTGTCTTAGCCTTAAAATTAGCGTCAATTCAGATTCCATTCTCCAGTTTCCAAGAGATAGATCCAGCGGCCGGGATAGAGTACTGGTGCACAGCGATGGAGCTCATCAACGGCTGGTCATGCATCTCCGGCATCAGTAGTCGCCGACGCCACAGCCAAACCGCCGACGGCAGCGGCAGTTACGAACGGATTATTTATCCTTCTTTTTCTACGTCGTCCTCGTCCCCGTCCCCAGCAGTTGCCATGCCCGGCCAGAAATGGAAGTCGTTGTGGAGGAGAATACTGAAGGAGAAGAAGAAACTCTTCGGGAGTACTTGCAGCCCATCATCACCGCCGGGAAATAACATTTTCTCGTACAACGCTGTCGGCTATTCGCAGAATTTTGATCAAGGGTACGTCATGATTTGGTCCGACCCGGACGGCGAGTCTCGCTCCTTCTCCGCCAGGTTCGCCGCGGTTCCAACGACGGCGACGACGTCTGGATTTTTTGATGAGGGGAGTAGCCAATTAGTATAAGGCGATCGTTTTGTTTGTTTGTTTGTTTGTTACATGGAGAGTGAAGTATAATGAGGATATGATAAATTAAGGGCTTGAGATCCGATCTTGGTTTTGGCGCCTCCCACGCCTTCCTTAAAAACCGGAGCAGGTGGAGATTTATTATTTTCAGGCTTTCTTGGATACTCTCTACCTAATTTAATTCCTTGCATATATATATATATATATTAGTTTTCTTCTATATAATCTACTTGTTTAATTTCATTTCTTTTCTATAATTGACCTGATTAAATTTCCAATAACGTCTCATGCATGTAGCGGGATTATTTTTTTATAAGAGTGATATATATTTTATGTTTAAAATTAGGTGTTATTTAAGCGATTCGAATTCTAATGGGAAGTTCTTTGTTTGACTCTCCAGTCATGAAGTTTCATATAAGGTTGAACTATTTGTCTTTGTGTGTAAACTAGTTTTTTACCTGGCTAGTTGGCCGGAGAAGTTCATTTTATTATTTATATTTGTTAACTTATCTACATGTTTGAACTTTTTGGATCTTGTATACATTTTTTGCTCTCGCTTCATAAGTGAATATGTGGTATGCCTATATCGAATATTATTTAATAGTTAGCACACTCGCTTGTGATGTTTTTATTCTCTGATCATAAATCATGTAAAGGTTTATCACGTCTCATTTAGGATCGTGTATAAATTTTTTTCTACCAAGACGCTCAAATTTATGGGATTTTTTCAATAATAGCACATATTAAAAAAAATTACAAAAATAGCATCCAATGCACAAAGTTTACAAAAATAGCACCATTTTTAGCAAACCGCACCTCCAAGATGCGTTTTATAACTAAACCGCACCCTCCATTTGCGTTTTATGTATAAACCGCACCTTGGAGGTGCGTTTTGCGCCACGTCAGACTGGGAATTGCACCTCCAAGGTGCGGTCTGTGTTTCCCCGGGAGCGGCCTTGGAGACCGCAGGATCCAGCTGCGATCCAGTGGCGGACCACTGCCACCTCAACGATCCACGCCATGGATCGCAGACCGCAGCGGCAGGGAGCGGTCAGCGCCTCGGGAAGTGCAGACCGCATCGGAAGGGAGCGGTTTCAACTCTAGCGAAATTACCATACCGTCCCTGGAGGGTGCGGTCTGAAGGGTATTAATACCCCCTCCCCCCCTCTCATTTCTTGACACCACAACCATTCTCCACTCTTTCTCTCTCTATAGAATTATCTCTCTAACCCCTCCCCTCCCAAAAGCATAGGATATAGTGGTCTGTTGGTTGCGGCGAAGTCCGATCTGCCATCAGAAAATAATTCTTTGGTTTTTCCCTCAAAACCCGCCGAATTTCTGTCCGACTTTCGCAAAAAAATGGACGAGTGGTTCCAAGGAGAGAGAGTTTATTATGATGAATTTCAAGCGGTACGTACTAATTATTTTGGTCAATTTTTGTTTTTGTTATAAGCTTTTTAATTAATCTATGTACTAACCTTGTTGTTATTCTCTCGTAGGTTAGAGACGACGTGAATATATACAACCAACGATACTATTTGGATCAAGGACCTATTGATCCGACCGACTTGTATGACCAACCCAACCATCGTTCGAGGGATGTTTGGAACGATCACTCAGTACATACTATTCTTCATCATTTATCTTTCTTTTATTTTGCTAATGTACTTAGTGGAATATAAAATAAATTTAAAATAATTTAATCGTATTGGTTGTTTTCAATAATTTAATCGAATACATAGCCTCACTTACTTCGACTCTTTATAAAGAGATGCACGTCTAAGGAAATGGGGTTTTAAGCGATTATCATGATCCTCTCATTTCCAAGGAAAATCGGGTATTAAGAGATCCTCGGATCCCCCCTTTTTCTGTCAAAAAGGTTGCGTTTCTAAGAAGATGTATACCTCTTCTAAGAGTCTAACGAGTGTTGCATTGTATTCGATTAAATTATTTAAAACAACCAAGACGATTAAACTACTTACCAAACAACCAATACGATTTATGTTTATGTGTACTTAAATGAATTTTATTAATTTCAAACGTTTGAATATGTATGTATCTCTTTAAATTATTATTCATTTAGAATGTTATTTATGTCAATTAATATAGTATGTTTATTTTATGATAATATGTATATATCTTGGAAAAAACCGCAAATTACTTAAATTTGATTGTTAATAATATAATTATAATAGAATTATGGTCGAAATTAAATATATTAATTTTAATTAATTAATTTATAAGACTAAACTATTACTAATATATTATAAATAATTTTAATAATGGTCGAAATTAAATCATTAATTTTAATTTATTTAGTTATAAGACTAAACTGTTACTAATATATCATAAATAACTTAGAAATTTTTGCTAGGAGGCACAACAAATACTCCGCTACAGGGGTACGACCAATGTGCTCCCATGGAACCCAGTTATCTTGCCCTATCTCAAAAGGCCACGGTTGGAGTCGATTAGGCATTTTGTAGGCATAAAAGTCGATCGTCAACTCATCACCGCATTGGTGGAGAGATGGAGAAAGGAGACATATTGTTTCAACTTTCGCGAAGGAGAGTGCACCATCACACTCAAGGACGTCCCCATCCTAACTCATCTGCCCATCGACGACAAAGCGGTGTGTGTGAGTGATCATCCCCCCGAGGATCGTGACGGTATGACCGGTTGGCAGTATTTCATCCACAGTGTTTTGGGGGTGAAAGTACCAACCAAGGGGAGCGTTGATGCGACGGATCGCTTGCCACCACTGAGGAAAGGCCAAGTATCAATCACTTGGTTGACGAAGTATTTTAGGGACCATCACGATCTTGAAAAAGATGTGGTGCCCCTAACCGAGGAAAGTCCGGAGCTGGAGAAGGAAAGATATGCTCGTGTCTATCTCATAGGCACAATAGGAGGAGTGTTCTTCTCCAAAAAATCGAGCAATTTATTTAGCTGTAGATGGCTTAGGATCCTCCTTGGTAGTTGGGATGCGATGGGGGAGTTGAGCTGGGCATCCGCTTGCCTAACTAATATCTACCACCATTTGTGCAATGCATCTCTCAAAGGTGTGAGGGAGGTCGGCGGCGCCATGTTCATCGTCCAGTTTTGGGCTTGGGAGCATCTGCCATGGATTGCACCGCTCCAATGTCCCGACAGGAATTGGGGTCCCGATCATCCCCCAAGACTCGAAGCTTATGTTTGTAGGTAAATTTCTCATGCCCCATCATGATTTTAATAACACAATTTTTCTTATGTTTTAGCTTATTTTACTTGAGTGTATTTTTATTATCGTCTTATTAATAAGGTGGGTTGGAGCCTCAACATGCGACAACTTTGCCCAACACAAGTTGGTAGAGTATCGGAGGAGGCTAGAGCGACTTTGGGAAGGAGAGGTAACTAGAATACTTCTAAGTGCTATAACTTTTTTTCATGGAGTACATATATTTTCCAATCGGATTTAACTTAAGTTACTAATTTTTTTTTTTTTTTGGTAGATCAAATTCGATCCATACCCGGCGAACATCGTTCATTGGCATTTACAGCAATTCCCCAAGAATATCGGGCAATAGTGCAAGAGGATCCCTCTCATTTGTTTAGGGACCGTGGAGTGGCACCTGCCGGATCGATGTCTTCGTCAGTTTGGTCAGGAGCAGTGCATTCCGTTGGAAGTCCCTGAGAGTCCAAGGGCGTTTCACCACTGAGATGGTCGGCAAGGTACTCACGATTGGCCCACGAAGTTGGCGGAAATGATCGCGGTATGGGAGAACCGACAACTTCAGGATATTGTCACTCCAACAAGTGTGGGTCGAATGGGGTATCATGACTGATAATCGGCTTTAACATATTGAATTCTTGGACTTTATGTGATTATTCCATGGTATGTTTTAGTCAATTGGTGTTATTTTAGGGCTCGCTAACTCGAGAATGGTTGAAAAACCATTACTACCTAGTGCCTTGAGTTTGATGTGTTACAGGTGGAGAAAGCACGAAAAAGAAGCGAGTGCACAAAGAATTGATTTGGGCCGGGACTCTCTTTTGGATTTTTTTGGACGGAAATGGCGTTTGGGCTTGGAATTAATTTGGGGTCGGTGGCTTTTGGTTTTGCTGGCGGGCGAAAGAAACAAAATCCCTTGGGCTGGGCGGATTTCTTTGGAAGAAAGAAAAAGGAAAAGGAATTCTCGAGGAGAAAGGAACGGGATTGGTGGGCGGAAATATACTGGAGGAAAAAGACGGAAATAAAAAGAAGAAAAGAGGCGCAGCAGGGGGGTCTGACTTTTAATTGAGTATCGGGCGGAATTCTTGGAACGGAAGAGAAAGAAAGCGCAAGGCAGCAGCACGCATCGAGCGACCAGGCGAATCTCCATCGACGATTGAGATTTTCAAGGCTACCTGAGCTGAGTTCAACGAGAGAGATTATTTGGTTGGAGTTTCTAAATCGAATTAGTTGTTTATTGTTGATTTAGAACATGATGATCAAAACTCCAATGTTTTATCTTAATTTCGTCATGAACTAAACCCTAATTTCTGGGGGAAACACCATAGGATGTAGCTATTTCTTGATTTGATGGATTGATTCGTATTTCTTTTCCTCCAATCTCTATTGCATGAAATTACGTAATGCTTTGTGTTGACTGGCCACCAATACAATGATTTGTAGTTAATTAGGTTATTAGCGACAATGAAACCCTAATAACTGAACCTATTTCATGTGACATAGTAACTTATCGAAGCGACAGTGGATTAAATAAGGTGCTATGCGGTCTTAAATAGGATATCGATCTTCAGACTATATAGTTAATTCATTGAGCTACGACAGTAGGATTTGAATTGATTATTTAGTACGTAGTAATTCCCGACAGGGATAGCTAGCACATTCGTGATATCCTGGCTGTAGAGGTATGGATTAAATTGATTGGAATATGTGAATTAATTTGGATAGGATAGGTAGTGAATCCCGGTGTTTCTCCCAGAGCTTTCTCCCATTGAATTTCTTCCGACAAATTTACTTTGCTTAATTAGTTTAGTTATTTTGCTATTAGTTAATAATTTCACCTCTTAAACATTTTCACACATAGTTTGCTCG